TTCTTTTGAAGTGTCAGCTGGTTAATAATTGGCAGTGGTTTATATGAAAGGCTCTGCTGTCTAAACAGACATTTAACACATTAGACGGTAATGGCAGTTACTGTAGTGGAACGTAAACACCTACTTGCAGAATTTGTTACAAGCTGTTTCTAAATCCCACACAGAAGAGCACTAGAAGTGTTCCTGAATTGTTTTAAATAACACTGGACTAAGGCATCCAAACACATCTTTTCAAAATGACTGCAGAAAAGCTTACTTCAACACTCACTGATAAATAATGTTCAGTATGAAGCAATTTCAGCACACACCAGGTTTCACCTCTGTAACAAGTAGAACTCTACAGCTAATATAATGTTCTACTCTACCTTGATGTTTTAATTTTCAACATGAAGTTTAATAGCTTGACTGGGAGCTGGACCTGGCAATAATTTTGGTATGCCTTGAATTTACCTGAGTTCTAATTAATTTTGTTAATAAAACAAAAAATAATTTGCAAGTGTTTTGGCTGGGTTTTGGTGGGGGTTGGGGGGGCAGGTTTCAGTTGGCCTGCACTGGGTTTTTAGGGGGGTTGGGGTTTGGGTTTTTTTGTTTTATTTGGTTTTTGCCAAAATGCAGAAAGCATTAGTCACAAGCTGGAGGGGACAAAAAAAAAATCAAACTCAAACTCTTCTAAATACTGTCCTACATAGATTTCATACAGAATGCTATGCTAAACGTAAAAGTGGTTTCTAGGAAGGAACAAAATTATCCATCCTCTTATTTAACACAAACTACAGAAAAATATTTCTGAATTCCAGCCCTACGTGATACAAAGAGCAGTCCTAAATAAATCACAAGTCAACTTGCACATGGTAGCTGGCATTGCAAAATGGGATTTCCCCAGGAAAATGTTCTGACACAAGCAAGTTCAAGATACTGTTCCTTAGAGGTATTTCTGCTTTAAGTAACCAGAACCAAATGAACCATTTGCATAATGTCAACTTCTACTTTGCCTGGGACAAGAAATTTACTGATAACATCCTGAAAGGTGAATTCTTCATATTCATCCATACACTGACATAATTAAAGAGTGACAAGTACTGAATTAAAGCTTTATTGCTTGGAGAGGTTTTATCACATTAACAGAGAAGGAAGCACAATGTCCAAGTTACTTCTCGTGTCTTCAAACAAAAAGATGCAAAGCAGGAAATTAAATAAGAATTCATGTCACAAGTATTGCACGTCATGCGCATTTCATGTGCAGTCAACCACCAATACCAGTATTAGATTACTTCATCTAGCAAGAGGAAAATGGAAGAACATCCAACAGCTGTTGGATCTTGGCATTAATTTAAAAATACAGAGAGCTGGTTCACTGCAAACTTCTCATGGGTTTGCTCAAGTGTGATAATTTGTTTCCATAATCCCAGGGATCCAGCCAGAGGTAAGAATCCCATCCATGGACAGGGATCTACAGTTACACTTCACATGCCTTATTTGTATAAATAATAACAGAGTGATTCAAGAAGTGGTGCATGGGAACACCTGGCTGAGCTCCTTAACACAGCAAACCTTTGCAAACGAGCAAGTTCAGGATGCAATCACAGGGCAGACAGAGCTCACAGTGCTCTCTCACACTGCCTGAGCCTGGATTTTGCCAGGAGTCCAAGGGAGCTCTGCCACATAGCCAGTGCCCCTCCGAGAGCCTGAGCCAAGCAAGGAGCCAGCTAAGGAAAGCTCAGCTCCATCCTGCAGCCACGGAGGAGCCCAGGGAACCCTTCCACCACATCTGTTGGCTCCTCTGCAGCACAAAGTGTTCCTCAGCCACGGAAACATCTGGTACACAGCTGGATATCACGAGGTTTGGCCACCTCTGCAGGCAAACTGACACATTTTACTCCATTTCTAGTCCAACATTTCCTTAACAGAAATATCATCAATTAAGCTCTGCCAGTGATTAACAAAGAAATTCTGAATCAGACAAGGCACATGCAGAGACCAACATTTTAAGCTCTGTCTCAAGTTTAATGATGGTCAGCACAGACTTTCATAAATCCCCCCCCAACTCATTACATGTATTACAAATATGATTATCAAAAGTTTTCAGTCATCCTGCTTCAGCCTGGCATTTCAAATTCCTCATAGTAACTGATATTTTAAGACTGTATAATCTTGTGATGTAACAATTAAAAACTGAATTGTATTTCAATGCTGTACAAGCAGCACAAAACTACCAACTGTCAATTCTTAGGTGGCCTTAATTTTAAGAAATAAGCCAGTTGACTCTTCTTGCATAAGAAAAATAAAGCTACTGGATTTGTGAGTGTTACTGGCTGCACAGCAAAAGCCAATGGATTCGAAAAGCCAGATCAGCATTTGCTAATACCACTCAAGGTCTTGTCTTGGACATAGACACTTCATTTTTAATTGTCTGACATGGTAACAAGAGCAAGCATTCTCAACTAATTCATTGCCTAGGTAACCCTGTCTCTTTAAATTTAATTGTTCTTAACAAAAACATGGAATTTATAAGCTTCTGTGTATCACATACGTGCTTTATTTAAGGAAAAGGCTTGTAACATATTTGGAAATTGTTAACCAAAGGGATGTCAGAACTCCAAAGTACTTCCAGAAATCTAGTAAAGTAACTAGGCACAAAATAACAACTCCCAATCTTAATCTTGCATTAACATACACATTTAAAATATTTACCTCTATCACACTTCCTCTCAATAGCAAATATTACTGGGCACATTCAGTCACAATTCAAAAGCCTCAGCCTATAGACCAGCAGACTACAGGGGAAAAGTTGAATTTTAAGAATGAATACCTACAATAGAACTGTTATATGAAATTCAAACACAGATACATATAAAATATACAGACTTAATTCTCTAAATACATCTAACTAGTTTAAATAAATCCTATCACAATCCCCAAACAATCTTTAGTTGAATTAAGATGGTTGTACATAGTAGAATTGCGTTAGAGGTACTTTGTTTTCCTTAGTGAAACCAGCCTGCTAAAATCACAGACCTCTGACTAAACTGCACTTCGGAAGGTCAGGGACAAAACTAATTCCAACTGAGCTGTTACACAAACGATATCCCCTGATGAAGATGATGCCAGGAATCAGGTTTCCAGGTGAGTGCAGGGGATGCAGCAGCAGCACAAGGAAAGCCTCTGGCCGAGGGCTGCCCGGCCTTTGCTCCGGGCTCACAGGTCGGACACAGGCGGGGGACGCGGGGCTCGGCCCCGCAGAGGTCACTGCGGAGAATTTCCCTTCCCCACGCTCCGGGTAAGGCAGAAAACAGCCGCTGCTGAGGGTCGGGAGGCTTTTCTACCTACGGGCGAGACTAACTTGGGAAAATTCCCACTAGATACTGCAGCAGATCGCTCGTTCAGCATGAGCTGAATACTCACTTCCCAAAAAAGGGCTGGCTCGGGCAAGCCGTCAAGTGATTTACGACTCCCACCCTTTATAGCAGCAGAGACCGGCCTGAGCTGCAGAAACTCTCCTGACAGACCGAGCCCCCGGAATTATCATTATTTTACACAGAACTTTCTGCCTCAAGAGATACCGGGAAGAGGAAAAAATTCTCTTCTTCATTCCTAACCAAGGCAGGACTCGGTGTTCCCATACAAAACAGACCAAGAACGGCTTTGTTGGGTGACTCCCGCTTACATTCACATTGGCTCATCTAAAATAAATCTTCATTCCGGTCACATTTAAATGCACTGGCTTGTGTCCACACCACAGAACGCTGGCAATAAATAAATAAACAAACAATGGATTCTATGTTGTATGTGCATCTGGCTACAGCGACTGGCAACAAATAACTCTCGTTACATGAAATTGAAAATATCACCATCTCGTTGTTTACTTGGTAAGTATTTAAAAGCAAAGTTGACTGAAACAGACCGAGTTGTTCAATGACTGTTTAACACTAGGAACATTCACACCAGGAGCCAGAAGGGCTGTTCTAACACAGCCTTATTGCTTTAATAATCTGTGCAATTAGTTTTAAGCCTGCACGGCCTCCAGAACCGCCTTTATAGGCATTCAAATCAACGATGCACACTTCGCTACACTTCTAATCACCAAATCGCTCGCAGATTTTCGCGACGGGGCCGCACAGCCCTGAAAAACGAGTGACAGCCCGATCCTCGCGTCCTTTAACCCATCAACCTAAGGGAAATAAAAAACCGAAGGGGAAGGGAAGAGGGAAAGGAACGAGGGAAAGGGGAGCGCGGGGACCCTGCCCCCGGCGGTACCTCCTTGTCGGGCACCCAGGGCGGCTCGTCGAGGCCGAAGGGGCTGCGGGCGGCGCGGTGCTCGGGCACCATGCGCAGCCCGCTGGGGGAGCGCACCAGCTTCTTCGCGTCGCCGCCCGACATCTTCCCTCGCGCGCCGCCGCCGCCGCGGGACGGGCACCGCCGCCGCCCAATGGCAGCACGGCGCTGCGCGACGGGCATGGCAAGGAACCAATGGGAAGCGGCAACTCGCCGGCCCCGCCCACTCGCTCAGGGCTTGCTAGCCAATCCTGTGTCCCTTGGCGTACTATTCCCGCCTCCATCGCGCCCCGCAACCCGGAAGCGAAGGGTGCGGACGCCACAGCCGAGTTCCAGGAAGCGCCACACCGAGCTGCGGACACCCGCGGACACCCGCGGCCACGAGGGGCGGGTCCGCACGGAGGCCCCGGCCGCTGTCTCAGCGCCCGCCCGAGGCTCTGACCCAGCCCGGCCCCGCCGCTCCCGGCCGGCCCAGCGGGAAGGGAACGAGCGGCGCCCAGCCATTGGTTGTCCCGCTGGGGCGGTCGCTGAGGGGAGCTTTGATTGGCCTGCGGCGGGAAAGCTGCTCGCTGATTGGCTGCACACTTGGCGGGGGATTTGTGACGGACTGAGGGCCCTGTGGCGGCGCCGCGCTCTGTCCGTCCGTGTGTGTGTCCTTGTGTCCGTGTGTCCTTGTGTCCTTGTGTCCGTGTGTCCTTGTGTCCGTGTCCGACCCTCGCTCCCTCCAGCCCGTGCCGGGCCCGTAGGACACCCCCGGCTGTACCGCGACCCGCTCCCGTTGTTTCGCTGTCCCCTGTGCCTCACCCGTGGAGCGGCTTCCTGTGAGCGGAGAGTGCACAATGGTTTGGAGCCCTTCTGTCAAGGGTCGTCGTAATCATGATTGATTTCAGTAAGTTTCGGCTTCTAAATCTTCTCAGAGTGTTGCTGTAAATGGGTGTTACTTAAAAGTGACTTGCCTCTCTTAGATTTATTCTGTTACTAGCACCCATCTCAACCTCTCCCTCCCATGTTGAAAAATGGATTGTTCATAAAGTCATGTATTCTCATGTAACTCCTGGATGTCTGCTGCAGTCCTTCATAAAGTTTATCAGAATAATGCTAAGAACCTCAGTACTTTTCTAGGCAGCCATGGTGCTAAACTGGTGTGTTTTGGACCAAAGTTTTAAAAGAGCTGTTTAATGTCGCTACAAAAAACAAACAGATTTTAACGATTTAATATTAAATTTGCTTCCAGCTAATAAATTTGACTGTGCAATGCATGAATAATCCCGGGTCATCCCAAATTGCTCGTGTGTGAGAATTTCTTCTATTTGAAAATTAAAGCCTCGTGTGAAGACTGACAGGGTAGAAATAAATGACTGTCCAGCTTGCTTGGGAGCTGCAGTCCAGAGCAAAAGCACTTTGCAGAATTCCAGGCAATTAAAACTACCAGTAGCTCTTAACTGCAGGATTATTGGTTGAACTCTTCAATAGGATCTCTGTAAACAGCCGTCAGAGAAGACTTCTGCCAAAGGGTTGGATTATAGAATAGCCAGGGTTGGAAGGGGGCTCTGGAGATCATCCAGCCCAACCCCCCTGCCAAGGCAGGGTCACCTAAAGCAGGTGACACAAGAATGAGTCCAGGTGGGTTTGGAATGTCTCCAGAGAGGGAGACTCCATGACCTCCCTGGGCAGCTGTTCCAGTGCTCTATCACCCTCAGCGTAAGAGTTCTTTATCTTGAGGTAAAACCGAAGAGAGTTGGCACCATCCTCTTTACACCCACCTTTGAGATCTTGATATGCATTGATGACATCTCTTTCTCTTCCTCTCCTCATCAGGGAAATGCTCCAGACCCCTCATCACCTTTGTGGCCTCTGCTGGGCCCTTTCCAGTAGCTCCTGGTCTTTCTTGCCCAGAGCTGAACACAGCACTCCAGATGTGGCCTCAGTTATGGCTGAGTAGAGGGGGAGGATCACCTCTCTCAGCCTGCTGGACACACTCTTCCCATAGTAAAATAATACCAACATATAAAATAATAATAATATCAATAATTCTCATAATAAAATAATAATCCCAGAATAACTTTTACTTCCATAACTGATAAATATATTGTTAAAAATAGAAAAAAAAAAGTCCTGGAAACTTTTGACACTGATTTATGCCTATTTTTTCTTGCCTGTGTCTGTGATAAAAGCCACTTTAATCACAGATAATTACGGGATGTGCTGCTCATTGCTGTTCTGTGTCAGGAGATGGATTGGGACCAGTTTGACTTGAACCCTAAAACAATTGCTGCTCTGAAAAAAGGTAATTTAATTTGCCAGTGTCTCATTAACAGATCTGTCACTACAGATCCTTGACATAATTGTGTGTTTGTGGGTATAAGCATGTAGATGGACACTAACATTTTAGAACTGTTATTAAGTATTTCATAAAGGAGTTTTTTTAGTAATTAGAAGTGTTGGGATTTTCCCATGCTTCAATAATAATTTTCCAAACAATTTTACAGCTTGTATTGGTGCATTCAAAGTGATTGTTGCCTGCCCACTGTACAAGAGTGCAGCATAGATAAACCTCAAGTAAACGAGAATAAGAAATTGGGTAAACTTTGCTGTATAAGATAGCCAAAAGTATTTATAAAAATTCCTCTCATTTCAGCTGACATAAAATCAGTAAAAGAGATTTTAAACCTCTCTGGAGCAGACTTGCAGAGATTGATGAAGCTCTCCAGTGCAGACATCCAGTGTCTGCTGAAAACTGTCTCTCATGCACTGAGGAGGAACAGCATGCTCACAGGTAATGCAGTCGGGGCATAAGAAATCTTCTTATCTACAACTCAAAATAACTGGCACTGGGAGAAAAGATGGTTCTGGCTCCTCAATGACATGGGAATGTGGGTTTAAAATGAGAATGGAAGTGTTTTAATTATGGTGTAGTGAATTATTTAACTATCCTAAAGACAGGTCCCCTGGGGGTAAATGGAAGTGAATGGGCAGCATTTTTCAGGCTTGAGCCTGCTTGAAACAGGACAAAATGTTTCTCCAGTCTGAAACACTTAAATACAGGAACAAAATATTTCCTTTTTCTTTCACACTCTCTTCCTCTCTATTCTCACTATTCTCCTTTTGGTCTGATACTAGTTGAAATTTTTATATATTATAAACTTCATAAATTGATTTGTCATAAACACCTCATTCCAAAACAAGCAGGACCTAAAAACTCCTCCTGTAAAATTCTTAATGACAACTCTGTACTTAAAATCTTACTTATCAATTATTTTCTTGTGATTGCATATGTTTTCAGGCTTTGACCAGATGCCTGCTGTGCTGTTTTATACTCTGCTCTAGCTTTCTGTTTCCATAATTGCTGTGCTTGAACCTTTGATGTCAAAATCCTCTCAAGAGTGTAACTTTTCTCAGAGACACCTTAGAGGCAGAGAAAGGAAAACAAGAGTTTGAGTGGAGGAAAGAACTCAGTGTAAATTATCAGTCTTTGTACAAACATTCAGCTGTAGGTGTGATGGGAGAGAGAGGTGGGGAAGACCAGGGTGCATTAGGAAATTCTCCATCAACAAAAAAGCATCCCTTGTAGGTATAAACCTTGTTTATCTGTTTTGTATGATTGTATGTTGGAAAACAATAAATTAAACTACATTTTTATTTTCTTTTTTTTTTTTTATTTTTAATGATTCAAAAACATTCCCAAACCCTGCAGCACTTCAGCTCTACCAAGATAAAGATCATTTCACCTCCCAGCACCAGAAGCTGAGCCTGGGATGTTCAGTGCTAGACAACTTGTTAAAAGGTGGCATTCCTTTAGTGGGAATCACAGAGCTTGCTGGGGAAAGTTCTGCTGGGAAGACTCAGATTAGTTTACAGCTGTGCCTGTGTGTGCAGTATCCTTACAAGTACGGTGGATTAGAGTCTGGTAAGTGCTGAGCTGTAAACATGGGTTCATTTCCCATTTGGGGCAATATACTGTCTTTAGGAACCTCATTAAAGCAGGTGCACATGTGCAGTGCACGTCTAACTTCAGTAGGAAGCCAGTTAGTGAGTAATGTGTCTTTAGAGAGAGAAAAGCTTGCTGTGCATGCCCTGCAGCACAGCATAACTTAATTCAAAATTGCTCTTGGCTGTTGCTTGCCTGCCTGCCACTCTGGGTTAAACGAAGCACACTCAAACAATGTAAGAAAAGTTTTGCTGTCATGAGAGCTCATTGACTCCTCAGATAACCACCTCAGCAGATAACTTTCTACAAATACCTTGGGTATATAGTATATATTCCCTAGCTGGGGATTTCAAATTTCAAAGATTATTTGTTTTGATAACAATAATTGTGTTGATTTACAGAGCAAAATCAATTAAAATGTAATTGAAGAAAGGTAACATTGTTTTGTGCCTGTGATTTTCCTGGGTTTACCAAAGTATACAGGTTTGTTCTTTGATTTGAGTATGGCTTTTTTACCCTTCTATCACATTAATCTAACTCCTAATTTTTTTGTTTACTTTTCTATGCTGCTGTAGAAAGGGAGGAAACCTGTGTCACTTCTGAGAATTCTGGTAGTCTGCCTTAGGTGTGTTTTGCCTGTGACCTTGCTGTTCCTCCCACACAGCACTGGCTTTATCTGGCAGCTCAGTGGCTCCTTGTGGGGAAACTTACTAATTTCTTGAACTGTATCCACCCATGTGGAAAAATCATGGACTGTACAAATTAAGATCTTGCCTAAAGGGCTGTGAGTAGCCTGTGGCTTACATTACATGATGTCATTAATCAGAGCAGAAGCAATTATATTTTGTTCTGTTCCTTGGTGTGCTGCTGCTATCTGCTGTGTATAGTTTTGAATGTTAATACATTTTTATCCATGCTCCAGCATGCTTCTCCCTGTTTGAGGTACAGAAGAAGGTGCCCAACAACCTATTGGCACTTTCATGTTGAGCCTCCCGTGAGAAATGCAGCAATTAAAGCTTAGATTTAATGTGAGGAGTTTTATTCTTTAAGAAACCTGAGGAGAACAAGTTCTCTTGATTAGAAACTCTTGCAGAACTCTACCAGTGGAAGATTCTGCTACTGATTTAAAATAATGGTGCATTGTATTTTTTTTACTGCTTAGAAACTTCCCTTCTCATAAGTGGTGATGTTGAAATAAATTTCTTTAAACAGTTACTTCATTAAATTTAGTGCTAGTCTTGTTCTACTAATTCTCAGTGCAAGGAGGTTGGCAGCAAAGAAATCCTGAAAGTAAACAAAGGCCTCCTTTGCCTCCAGGATATCTTTCTGCTGCTCTAGGGATGTCAGATGTGTTCAATTATGTGTTGGCTGAATTTCTTTTATATGCCCATATTCATAAGCAATACATGAATATAATAGGAAAAATTAATATCCATATTAGAATTCTGAATTAGAAAATAATGTTTGCTACTGATTCTTGATAACCAACTGGTTTGGTGCATGACACATTATGATTATAGGAATCAAAATTTGTTCTTTTTGAGGTTGAGGGGTTTTAGTGGGTTTTATTCCTGTTTGCTGGATTTTTTGGTGGTATTTTCTTGTCAACAACCAGCATAACACATTTATTGGCCTGAATAACAGATTTTATGAAGTTGCTGATTTCTGTTTGGGTTTTGTTGAACCTGTGACTGTTTTCAATGTCCTGAATGTTGCAATAACTCTGGATCAAAATACAGTTATTTAATCAATGGAGCATCAATCTATCTAGAAATACAAATCTGCATCGGGAAGAACGCCAGTGACTATGAAATCTGAAGAAATGGACATACCATCCTTTTTACAGGAGGAGGAGAGGACAAGTGAAATCCTGCTTAAGGCAGGTCTGGTTTTCAGAAAGCAGATGATTTCTCTGTGAGTCCAGAATTCATGACAGAGAAATCCCTGTCTTTCAGCATTAAAGCAACAGTGTCCAAAAGGCAGTCAGCTTAAATAAGAATGGTAGCTGAGAAGGCCAGAATGTTTTACATAGGAACTGTTGTCTCAACACAAGTTAGCACAGGTTTTTTAGCATGAAATTCATAGTGCTGTGTTTTGGATTTCTGACTGAACCAGGCAGGCTATGCAGTGTCACTGTTTGTGGGCTGGATGAACTGTGATACCTCTGATCCCCAAGGGCAGGTGATCAGGTGCTCCACAGATGTGCACAGTGAGTGTCACCCAGTGGAGAGTACAAAATCCAGTTGTCCCAGCTGGTGCTGAAGAAGGGACCAGACAACTGCAGGAAAGTCACAGGAGTGGGTTTTTTGTTCATCACTGATTCAAAATAGTTGCAAAATAACCAAACAAACATGAATTTCCAGGTCTGTATGTGTAGCTTTTAAGCACAGAATGTCTGATAAAACTTGTGTGCTGTTAAGAAAACTGTGTGTAAGAGCCCTGTTGTAACCACAGGTGGTTTCCTTGGCTGCAGGAGCTGTGTACATTTCTACAGAAGATGTGTTCCCAAGCAAACGTTTGCAGCAGCTCATAGATCAACAGCGTAAGCTGCGTGCAGATGTTCCAGCTGAAATCATACAGAAGATCAGATTTGGAAACAGTATTTTTGTTGAGCGGGCAGCAGACCTGGTACGTAGTAGCACAAAAAGTGTCTCTAAGACTCCTGATCAATATGGATTTGAGGCATTATTTTACTGTTAAGGGGTCATTAGTGGAAGAGCAGCACAGTCTGTAACTGGTTTGGAACATTTAGTGATAGTCTTGTGTGTCGTGAGTGTTTCAGTGAGAACAACTCCTTTCCCAGGTAGGCTGAGAAAGTTGGGGCTGTTCAGCCTGGAGAAGAAAAGGTTGTATGGGGACCTCAGAGGAGCATTTCAGTGTCTGTAGGGGCTGCAGGGAAGCTGGAGAAGGGACTCTTTGCCAGGAAATGTAGGTAAGGCAAGGGTACAAATTGAAAGAGGGAAAATTTAGATATTAGGAAGAAATTCTTTACTGTGAGGGTGTTGAGATACTGGCACAGGTTGCTCAGAGAAACTGTGGATGCCCCATCCCTGGCAGTGTTTAAGGCCAGGCTGGATGTGGCTCTGAGCAACCTGGTGTGGTGGGAGGTGTCTCTGCCCATGGCAGGGGGTTGGGAGTGAATGGTTTTTAAGGTCCATTCCAACCCCTTAACGTTATATTACTCTATGAAAACAGGAACAGTTTAGGAGTGTAGTACTACACCCTTGAGATTTTAAAGGATCAGTAAAGCCAGAGCTGCAGGTAAATGCAGGTTGCAGTTTTGTCTCTTCAGTTTTCTCCTCAGTAAAACCACCAGATGTGGTTACTGGTGAGACTTTGGGATTCACCAGCTGCCTTCACGATTCCAAACTCCTTGAGCTCGTGCTGCAGTGGTGATTGCTGTAGTTGAGTCTCTTGATGTCCCAGCAGGGTTCTTTGCTCTGTGTCACTGTCCCTGTGTGTGTGTCAGGACACCTTCCAGCAGTGCATCACAAGGAGGCTGTCCCTGCTGCTGGCTCGGGGCATGGTGCGCCTCGTGGTCATCGACTCCATCGCCGCCCTGTTCCGCTCCGAGTTCGGCCCGGCCGAGTCGGCTCTGAAGGCTCGCTATTTGCAGACCTTTGGAGCACAGCTTCACAGCTTGAGCACTAAGTTCAGGACTCCCATCATGTGCATTAACCAGGTATGATATCAAGTTGCTTCTTATTCTGTAGGGACTGTTTAATAAATGTCTGGAGGGTGACGGAGCAAGCTGTGTAAATGCAGGTTTCATGGTGTTGTATTTACCGCTGTCAGCGGACTATTAATGACTGATGGAAATTGAAGCTTCCTTAAACTGATGTACTTCAGTAAATGTTAACTACTCAAAGTTTATTATTTAAGCTTTTATAGGCTATTAATGTTCTTAGAAGTTGTCCAGTAAAGCTAACAAAAATAGGTATGTATAGCAACTTCACAGAGCATCAAAGCAAAGTAACAGTTCTTTCTTATCACTGGCTTCAAATGCCATTGCCAACAGGATTGCTCTGGGACCTCTGCAGGCAGAGTTATATTCCAGGAGACAGTGAAGCACCAGGGACTTTGCTGCATTTCTGTGGAACTCAGAATTTTTGTGTAACTACTAAGATTACCGAAGCACTAAAGTGTATGCACTGACTTGAGCTGGGCTAAAACAAGGCCACAATGATACTGGTCAATAAGAGTATTCTTTTGAGAAAACAAGGCAAGACACTGTTCTTAGTCCACTCACAAATTGAAGGAGCATCTAAATGCCAGAGGTGAAACATTCACAGTCCAAATGTGGCCTTGGGAAGGGGTAAGTCAATGTGCAGGCAGGCCACTGACAAACTTCAAAGGTAGTGAAATCATTGAGAACAGGGTGCTTTTGGGAGATCTGGGCTTTCGTACTTTTTATCTCCAGCTACAGCACTAGAACAGTTTTGTGAATGTGGGGGGTTTGTTTGTGGTTTGAGGGTTTTTTTTAACAAATAAAGCATCTAGAATTAATTTAATTAATGTAAGCTGTAGCTTGCTAAGTAGTTCTAACATTGTAAACTCAGCTTGTAATTCCCAAATCTATTTTAGTTTGCCTTGAAAGAATAAGTGTTTTTTAACTTGGCTTAATAAATGCTCTGATAACTTGGACTTTCTTGCCTTGGCTCACCTCCCTGCCCTCCTGCTTGCTAAGGACAAACCCAGGACCCCGAGTCAGCTGCAAACCCTGTTTTTGTGCTTCAGGTGACGGATGCAGCGAGCGAGTCGGAAGCTGCTCAGTGCAGTTGTAGGTGAGTCATCCACACAGAGTGACAATATCAAACACAGCAACTCTGAACCACTCTGTTCTTTGTCACTCCAGGGTAAGCTACCAGATCATGTGAGTAGCAGGGGGTTGTTTACCCAGCAGTGCTGGATTTGCTGGAGATCAGTACTAGCTCATGCTGTGAAGGGGAAGAAACTGTCATATTCATTTACATTGTAATCCCTAATCACAAGTTAGCAGGAAAAATTCCCTGGAGTTAATGGCTTGAATACCTGCTTACGTAAGAGTATTTCTGCATTTTGTCTAGTCTCTGGTATAACTGAGTGCACCTTTGGTCTGCTTAGAAAATATAGCAACCCAGCCCTAGCAGCTGGCTTTGTTAGTGAGCTAAGAAAAAACCCAAAATAGTAACTTTTGACACCAAGATATTAACAGAATTCAAATGTATGTACTTATTGTTTGGATCCTAACTATAACCTTGATATACTGCATAAGCTGGGTGCTATGTAAATGGGTGTTTGTGAGAAGTTCACTGTGTCCTTTAGATTCTGAAAATTACTCAGAACAAGGATAAGGTTTAATTATTTTTTGCCTGGTTATCTTGTAATTCTTTTACTGGAAAAAATGCACTTTTTCCTGGGAAAAAAAGTTTTAAACTTGGGTTGAAAGTCATACATATACAGTGTTCTGATTACCCAATATTTCTAAATATACCTGCAAATGGAATCCAAGGCCAACAGTTACACACTTCAAATATTAAAGGTTCAATCATTTTTCTCTTGTGGTTTTCCTGTTGCAAGAGAGGCCTGCCCAAGAGGAGGCAGGTATTCCCCCTGGCTGTAGTTGAAAGAATGACAGCTGTTCTGTAGAGAAGCACTTCTCCAGCTGTTCCCTTGCCACATGGAGAACCTAAGTTTTGTGAGTAAACCCTGTCACCTCTGTCTTCAAAGTCCTATAGTTTTCAATGCATGTTAGAGAAACAGTAAATTATGTCTTCTAGTGCAGTTTTGTTACAACAGGAGGTATTTCATATTAAATCCATGCATGCAGAAATGTGTAATACTTCCTTTTTAGGGTAGTGGGTAGCAGAGTCACTCCAGCACTTGGAATAACCTGGTCCAATCAGCTGCTGATGAGACTGATGGTCAGCCGGATATCACTGCCCGGACTCTCACCTGGAGCAGCATCACACTGCGCTGGAAGCGTGAGGACTTTAAGTGTAGTTTTTGCTCCTCATCTCCCTCCATCCTTTTGCTACTATACAGTACAGTTGGAAGGTGTAAAAGGAATAAAATAACTCTTTTACACAGTAAAGTGCCTTCCTCCAAAAATGTACCAGAACTTTGTTTCAGGAAGAATTACCAGTGAAATGCAATTCTTAGATGAGAGAAATTGATGGTGAAGTATATAAACAATGCTATGACTACATTTAGCCTCATCTGCATTGTTAAAGATGATCTTTTTACCCTTGGATATTCTACTTTTCCTTGTGAGGTGAGTGTCCTGAAGGTTGTTCTGAAGGAGAGGGAAGCTGTAGGCAGGTGGAAGCTGCACAGCAGAGTGGGATGTAGCAATCCCCATGAGGGAGTAGACCTGATGTCTAATTTTATTTTAATAGCATGCTCATCTAGAAACAGCATTTTGTACCCTGTTTCCAGACCCAACAGGACTTGAAATTCAAACAGTTTATGTTGCCTGCTGGTCGTTCTAGGTCTCATGTTGCCAATTAAGGACAGCCATTCTTTGTCACAAAGCAGCTGTTCTATTTTTAAACCATTTGTTATTAAGATTTTAAAGAAAATAATCCCATAAAGGTACTTGATTTTAACATCTTACTTTAAGAATTAAAATTGCACTGCCTTTGTACTAGAGGAATATATCTGGATTCACAGCACTCGAAATTTTTTTTTCTAATGGTTCATTTCCACTCTTTTCCTGCTTTCCAGTCCCTTCCCTTAATAGCAAAAGCCTCATCTGAAGGACAGCAAACTACATCTGCCATCCCCTTGTTCTCTTTGCATAGCCTCAGGGCAAGGTCTCTGTGTTCTTCGTGATCCTCTGCCCTGCTCTGTGTTTTGCTGGATCAGCATTCTTCATGGGCTTCTGGATGGCTGCCTCTCATGTCCTGTGTCCCTGCTACTGGGCTCTCAGCTCAGCCATGATCCTGAAGGGCACCTTGAGCTCTTTTCATCCATTGAGATGCTATTGCTCTTCTCAGGTGATTTTTGTTCAGTTAGAGCTTCACATGGCTTTTCTTCCCATCTTTGTGATATTTGTCACTTTTTTCTGCTGTCCTCAGACCACTGCCATGACATCCACTCTTCTATGGCTGACTTTTCCCATTGCTCTGTTCTGTGTGAAAGCAAGCCAGCTAAAGTTACACTGTCCAGAGGCCTCTGTTCTGTGGTGCAAGTGAGTGATGCTCACTTGTATCACATACTCATCAAGCTCTCACGTTTCCCCTCCTCCTGCTGCTGGCCCTGACAAGAACTCCACGTTTCTGTGAAGTGACATCGCTCAGGTCTGTCTTTTGGCCAAGGAACCCTGTGTCTGTGAAACAGCTGCCTCCTCTGCCTTTCCCCAGTCACACTCCTTCAGGACATTCATCCATCTTTTCCTGTGGAAGCATGCAGCTGGGTAGCTGAAAAGGAAAGTTTTGTTTGGCTGTAAGCTGCCTCAGCTGGAACTATGGCAGAAGATTTCTCAAGGGACAGCTGAGTATGACCTAAGGAAAAGAGGCCCTGTGTGACTGCCTCGGGAAGTTCCAGAGCAGTACAGGCTCAGCTTGAAGCTGAAGGAAGGAGACTGTAAGCAAGCAGAAAGGATCAGTTGATTTCAGTGCCTTCTGCAACCCACCCCTTCAGATGTCTTGGGGGCCCTTGTGCAAATAGCACAAGTTGCATCTAAATAATTTTTCTAAAATATCTTAATTCTCTGTATTTGGAAATGACTGCACAGCATTTTTTTAATAAAATCCAATCATGAAGCTTAGAAGCCTTTGTGTACTCTAAGGAAAAAGTGATAATGCCACAGCTCAGAGACAGGGTCACCTCCTTCAAAACCTTACCTTCCATGCCTCCTCCTAACAGCTTCAATAAAGAGCAACTAATGCAGCACAGGTAACACTCCAGTTGTCTTCCATTCCTGCCTGTGTATCTGGGCTGGAACTGCAGCCAAGGTAATGTTCATCCTATTGTGCTGACTGGGAAAAGCAGCCACAGAGAGATGTAGCTGATTACTGGGAGTCATCAAACCCTGCCTGAATGTTCATTTACAGAAGAGCCTCATCAAATCCTGAGCTCCAATCTCAAGTTTGCCATGCTGTGAGCCATGTCCAAAACAGTGTGAAACCTCTAAAGGTTCAGTTTGTAATAGTTTGATCACTCTGTTTTGCAGATGGACTGCTTGCAGGAATGGCCCCAAAGTGTTAAAAGTCACAGATGGGTCTATAATCAAAGTTCCAGTATACCTGGTGAAAAACACCCTTACCAACAAACAGAAGTAACATTTTACCTGCTCAAGTGTTCTGTCATTACCCTGTTGGTTTGTTGGTGGTTTCTCTCCAGCTGAGTCAGAGTACATAACAGTTTGTCTCCTGGCTCATGAGCACACTCAAACCCTGAAATCTCAAATCCAGCTGAGTCCTAAGGAAGCTGACAGCCAGCACTCAGTCCCCTCCAGTTTCTGGCTGTCCCTCAGTCCCAGCCCAGGATGTCCACATCTGACCCAAGTGCAGCTTGGGGGCTGCAACCCCTCACAGGAACCCAACACAGCACCTGTCTATTGAAGCCTTGTGTCCAAAGTGTTGAAATGTGCTTGAGTTTTAATAAATGCAATTTAAGAACCTTCCCTTTATAGAGCTTTATTCATCTTTGGATTTCACAACTGAGATCTGTGTTCTATACAAGAAAAAAAACTGAAGTAGTTTTTACAAAGAAGATTTACAGTATAGAATGTATTAAGTCTTTATCCTGCAAGACTACTTAAATATTAATCTACACTTTGAAAAGAAATGTTAAATGACACTTGAGAAACCATGGTTCCTTAAATATTTCTCATTTACAAGCAGATGTAACCAAGGAAGTGTTGCATCTTCACTGTGAGCACAGGCACCCTCCCAGCTTGGGCCTTTGGAGCTCTACCAGACCCACACACTCTGTTTGGCTTCTTGCTTTGTTGTTTCAGGTTTTTTAACAACTGACCTTAACTATCCAGTGTACTGGCACAATCGTGAATGGAAAAAATAATCCAATGTAGATGTTTGAGATATTCCTCAATTCTAAATATTTACACCCCACCCCCACCATGTACTTCTGTAAATCGATGACAATGAAACTAAACTTCTCAGCATCGTATCTGTTAACATTTATTCTCTCGGTACAGACTAACATGACCAAAAATGCCACTCTCTTAGCAGCCTTCAGACACAACACAGGACCTACACAACAAAACTCAAAGTAACTTAACTACTGTAAACACACTGTCAATGCAGCACTGCACACGCCTTTTACTTGGTATTTACATCAGAACTGCACCATTTGCAAAATCTCTGGATTCAAATGATACAATTTAAGTACAAATATTGCTCAAGCTCAAAACCATTTTAATTTACTACTATTCAGGAATGCTTGGGGGGATGAGGGTGTCATTTACTGTAAGAAAAAGTACAAACTGTAGATAACTGACACTTTTTGCATTGTGTAAGTGCAGACACACCACAGCAACAGGTCAGTTACTCCTCCAGGAGAGGAGCAAATCATGAAACAATTACATTTTACAGGACTATTTAGTAAGATCCAAACTCAAGACCAAATATTGCCAATATAGCACACAGCCGGAGACAGAAGGACAGCAGGCCCCTTTCTATCAGTAACAATTCCATGTATGACTCATCCCACATCCTGCTGTAAACCCAGACTCACCCGTCTGCAGGAGAATCTGAGGCCTAATGTGGAGTCCTCGTTATGTCTGTATTCAAGTTCACCCTTAAAATTTTAGTCAAGGACAAAAATGCCAGATTAAAAACACAACCACAATACCAAGAGTTTGCAGTTTTCCTAACAAGATGCCTGTCAGTTTTGTAGATCTTTTCCAGTTTTCTGTTTTATCAGAGCTGTTGATTTAGTTTGGTGCTGAAGACATCCCAGAATTATACAACTGAATATTCTAGATATATTCTTTATACACCCTCTTAGCTATAACTGGAACCTTACAAAAAGAAATCCAGAAAGAAAATCTTGTCTAAAAGTGAACTGAGAAGCCCATCTGAAATATAAATTTACACAAACCATGTCCTGACAGTAACTCATCCATGATTGAAACACAGGGAATGTCGACTTTAATTTTGTTTCTATTTTTCAAAAGTTCTCAAACTGCTAACAGCTCACTGGCTCTTAACAGTAAGGACTTGGCTATAACAAATCCAGGATTTGTTGATTAAAGAAGTCTTGAAATTTGTTTCTTCTCAGAAAAATAAAAAAAAGAAGCTTTTAAATATAAGAGTTACTTAATATGCATCAGCTCAACAACTTAAAATTTCCATCACACTTTAAAATACTAGATAAAGGATTAAAACATTTAAATGCACAGTATTAGTAATGCCACCACCAGCATGATCTTGACCTGGGAAGTTCCCTCACTATCACTATCAACATACCACAGTCTTGCACTTTGAAACTGTATAATGTCATTTGGCATGGTTAAATAATTTATTGCTTATTTACACAGGGTTGGGGGTTTGAGAGGTTGCAAAAAATCATTTTGATTCAAAGCTGAAAAATGAATGTGGGAACCACGTCTTTCAGTTTAAGTAATTCCTTATTACCAAAACAGTTTTGGTGTCTGAATAGTTCTGTGGGGTATTTTTGGAAGCCAAACTCCAAGTGGGGCAGGGGTTGGAGATGGATACCTCTGGCCTGGCAGCCTGACGTGGTTCTTTTAGTAAAGCCAGCTCAGTCTGCCTTTGTGCAGGGAGCCCAGTTCGCCAGTGGGGGCATAGAACACGTTTTACTTTAAGGGGGGGAAAAAGAAGTATATATATTACATATTCTTTTAATATAAAAAGCTCTTAATAAAAAGATTAAAATTCAAGAGTCAACATTATATCATTATATGAGTATCTACTGTTAAGATAACCGAGCAACAACCTGTTCCTGCTCGAGTTCATTAATGAATTGCACTATGTGCTAAAACTTCTACATAATTATTAGCAGCATTGTCTCTCACCATTCCTACACTGTCTCTAAAGCAGGTGCACCACGCGCAGCTTCCTTGGCAGAGATGCTCAGGCGGTACCTCCTGGTAAACATTGTTAAGTGCATTACACAGACAACTTTTGCATCAGTTACTGTAACCAACTTAAAACCAGGTACAAACCCAGTCAAGAACTCCTACTAAGTACTAATTCTAATGACTTTTCACAGCCTGTTCAAATACTAAAACTTGCACATGTTCCTATATTTTATCTCCTTCAGTTGGTCCTGACCTTGAATGAATTTTCCAGCTTCTCCCAAAGTTAATTTCGTTCAACATTTTCCAACTTACAGCTATGACCACAAATACATTTGTACACGCACTGCTTCTTTTTTTTTTACTTTCTCATCCAACTTCACACGAATATGATTTTTTACAAAAGATGAACAAAATTACAGGCTTTACAGAAAAGCAAAAGGAAATCCTAATGTCTATAAAATCCTTAAAACATACATACTTCGTTCCAGCATCAGTCCTGTATACAGACAGCATATATATAATAACCTAAGTGGATTTAACATGGAAATGTGGTCACACAGGTCACTTGCCACTTACAGCCATCAAGTGCTTCCACGAGGGCCCTTAGCACTGAGTGGTCCTTGCAGAGCAGCCATTCTGCAGTGTGATATCCTGGTGTGCAGTGCCTGCTTCTGCTGTCACCAGCTGGTGTGGAGAAAGGCAGGGTTTGGGATCAGTGTAAGGAAACACTGGGCACTTTCAGCAAACAGAATGGGATTGTGAATTCCAGTGGACAAGCGAGAAAGTCAACCTGAGGCTTGATGCTTCCCTGAGAGCAGGAGCAGCTGCTCTGGGACAGTTGCAGTTCAAAACTTGAGTATTCTTCAATCACACAAATTAAAGGTTTTGTTCCATTTCTCCTGATGTACCCAAACTATCCTATATGCATTGATTATTGTGCCCTAAGACTTACATTATCAAAAGTTATGGTCGCAGGTGTTACTATTCATTCTATCTAAAGGTAACTTACCCCCAGCCATTGCTTCTGTAAGATTTAATAGCTCAGTCTAGTGGTTAAGTCAGTCATGTCTAAGTGCTGTTTTGCTAGCCAAGGCTTCTACCATTACAAGAATCAGTGGTGCAGGGGCATACCTCACCATTACAGAATGCTCAACAGAATTTCTACAGTAATGCACAGTAATTTATCCACTTCTCATTCCAGCACTGTATGTATTTACTGTATTTAATGTATTTAATTTTGCTTGCATTTTCCAACACTGTTGCATTTTGGTACGCTTTGAATGTGTTTGTATTTTTACTTTTTTTTGGCTGCTGTAATAGTCAGATCTATTAAAGACATTTATGTAAGTAGCATGAACAGGAGCAGTGCAATGAGCAATACGTATCTATAGTTTTCCCTTAGAAGAAAACACACACTAATGCTGTGTTTAAAACTGTCCCTATTTAAAAAGTAAAAACAGCAGTCCATTGGAAAAAAACCAACATCTACAAACTAGGTGTTCCTATACACAAGGATGAGGAACCAAAGCTTTGAAGGTCTCAGTGCTTCTTTATTCACACAGGAATATTAGCTAGCTTCTGTCCCAAATCTCAATGTGCCAGATCAGAATGACTGACACTCAGAGCT